GGGGGTTGGCGATCCCCGTGGGGGATGGGCGTAAGGATTCTCACCTAGCGACCCTGGCGTTTGGCTAGGCCCAGGGGAATTTCTCATACGAGGGTCCATGCCGTAGGGTGGTCTTCCACCTACCAGTGAAGAGGCATTGTTGTCTGCTGTGCCAGGCTGTCTCATGCCATAACCCTCAGGCGGCGTGCTCCCGGCCAACTCTCGAGGTGCCGCCTGATCAGGGATTTGTGATCGGTTCTGCTGAGTGAGAGCTGAGCCATGGATTTGGTCATGGTCGACCGGTATGGCCGGCATTTCTGCAAACTGCTCGTGGATTTGATCCAGCCCATAGGGAGAACTACTCTGGGCAAGGGCTGGAGACTGACGACCCCCAGATCCCATAGTCGCACCAACCGCCTGCGGCGCGTCATATGGTTGATCGTACGGTCCGGTAGACTGGTTGCGGTTGCGCATCGCCATTGCCCCGGAAACGCCGGCGGCGCCGGCGACAGCAGCAGGAGCAGCACCATAGGGGGCATTATTGTATGGCTGGTGTCCAGGAGCTTCGTAGAGTTGAGACTGCTGACCAGCTTGTGAGTGACCATTGGCGCCGGACATAGGAGCATGGCTATCGTATGGGTCATCTAGGCCAAAACCCGCGGACTGACGATTCGTACTGAAATAATCATTATTATACCCGTGATTTGGAACTCCATAACGCGCTTGGTTAGGTTGTCCGTAGCCAGGAGATTGTGGACTTATCAACAGGTCTTGTTGACTGTGATTAGACATGTGACCGCTGGAGCTGCCCGGGAGATGACCGTATTGGCGATCGTAGTTCATGCTCACGGGACTGACGGGAGTAGGAGACGGTAGATTCCTGCGGTTATGGTTCAAAGATGGGGCTGGCGCCTTTCTGAGATTGGACATTTCCACCTCTTCTTCCTCCTCCACCAAGACCTTTTTGGACCCTGAGCGTTCCCAGCTGGGCATGGCAGGCAGGGCGTCCCCGTCACCCTTTTTGGAGACGTCAAATTCGGCATACTGTTGTGGTTCGAATTTTGATTGTGCTGGTGGGTGAAAGTGTACCTGCATTGGAGCTTGGTTTCGGTAGCCTTGGCTCTGATCATGATTAGGAGGGCTGTACGGGTTGTCGAGATACTTGTTCTTGCGATCGCCAGGCGGATCGCAGCAGCCGCAACAGTTGCCGCAACATTTCAAGCACTGGAAGCAACTGCAGCAACATGACATGCCGCAACAGCAGCATCGAACAATGCACCAGACAATAGACAGGATGATGAGGCTACCAACAATGATGACGCCAATAACAGGCCACCTAACGACTTGTTAGCAACAGGAGGGGAAGAGCCAACGCGCTGAACGTGGCAAAGTATATGGCATCTGTGAGTCTTACTTGCAGAACGCAGCCTTCATACAGTTATCCCAACTTGAAAAGGCAGTCTTGGCATCGGTAATTTGGTTTTGGGCATCCGTCACGATATCTCTCTTGGTCAAACTTTGGGCGACTGATCGAGCGACGGCATCTCTAATCAATTGCCAGGCTGCAGGTCGCAAGGACCTCGCCATTGCAACGTCCACCGATGGCATGTTGAGCTGCTCGTGTGGCCGTCGTCCAATACGGCTAACCGCGATGTAAATAAGAGGACAGAGAGTCCCTAAAAAGTAGACTCGTAGGTTTAGGCGACGTGGCAGTCGGGTAGGACTACCTTTAAATCCAAAGTTATTGCGCCATGCGATGAAAGAGCAGGTCCACAATATGGCATGAAGGCTCGAGTCAAAGCAGAGATATGTGGAAGGTGGCAATAGAGCAAAGTAATCTTGTCGGACGAGAGACGAAAAGGGTCGTCAGAATAAGCTTGAACAGATTTCCGGCAGTGACAGCAGAGCCAACAATGTGCTTGATTCCAAAAATAAATCGGGCGCGATACTTTATTATTCGACGGTCGCAAACGAATGAACTGGGGGGCTTAGACGGCGCCAAAATGTAGCCACTCAGCCAGACTGCAGCCACGAAAAGTGACAAAGAGGCCCCCAGGTGATGCGGACCGTGAATGTCGCGACGAGGCAGGGAATGAGTTGTTCAGAGTCGAGATTTTCCTAGCACCGGACGGGTGTCGACTCGAGAGCAGCGATGTGAAAATCCGGATCGGAACGAAATCGGAAAGCTTAAACCTGGAGAGAACGAGGAGGTTTAGGTTCAAGGGTGAAACCAGGTCGGGTGGGCTATGCCGAGTTTTTGGCCACCTTGCCGCCAACGAGCGTCGCTACATGTACAATCAAACGGGCCGCTTCAAACAGTTAGGATCGCAGGCGCAGCCGTTGGTCCTCGGGATACCAAAGGGGGGTGCTCAGGGCAAAGACGAGGTTGAAGACGGGGTATAAAGGAGCGCACTCGTCGTGGAAGAAGGGCACGTTTTTCGAGCAAGACAAAAAGGAGTGACGAGCAGCGGTGCGAAAAGGAGACTGGAACAAAAAGAAAAGACCCCGGAGCTGCGTGGAAAGGGTCCGGTCGCTGTGCACGAGCATATGCCGTCTACGGCAGATGAGGATCTTCGACAGGAGCAAAGGATGAGAAAAGAGCGGGAGGCACGGCTAGGAAGAGAAGATGGACAAATTGACCATGGTGATTGAATTTCCTCTGGCGGTGCGGGACTTGGGATCAATTGATGTGCGGCGGCGGAGGGACCAGTTGACAAGTTTGACCAGGTTGGCCAGCGAAATGACAGGGGATGCGGCGCGGTGGAAGTCACTGCGATACGGCAGGTACGCCCCGCGGGTACCTGCCTTCGATGCTTCTTGGCACCGGAGTCGCGGTAGGACGACGTCTGGATGGCCACGACGGGACGAGCGCTTCTCTCTTGGGCAATGTCCCCCCGCAGCTGATCAGGGATGCCCAGTGTGCCCCTGGAAAACTGGGGCCAGTCCGACAACCTGTTCGATGCCCCCTGCGAGCTTCTCTTGGTAATGATGCTCGCGAAGTGCCTCCTACGATCCCTCAGCCCTCATTCCTCTTGCCGCGTGACCCATCGCACACGGCATCTCTGCCCTGGCTGCTAATTCTCGGTACCATCATTCGTACGTGATGCCAAATGAATAAAGCGTCTGGTCCGCCTGCTTTTCCTGACCACACCTGCAAAAAAACTGTTTGTCCTGTGCGTGGACCGTGGCGCAACAAGGGGTCAAGTCGGGGACATGGTACATGCATGTGTACCGAGCACAAGCATGCCTCTTCCTTCAACTTGAGTCACTTGTTTTTGTCCCCTTTCTGGGGGCACAAGAAAAACCCTTGCTCTTTTGTCGCTTGTTGTCACTTGACCATGCTTGCGTTTTGGCGAGACGTGACGACGCTTCCAAGGGGGGAAGAGAATCAATGCTTCAAGTCGCGAAGTTCCCATTTGCATTTTATCCGCAACGACCAGCTGGACGGGCCGGGACGGATAATGGGAACCGGGTGGCTTAGCTGTCGACGTCAGGCTTTGGAAGGCCATTACTTTTCTGCGCCATCTTCATCTCCGGGGCCTCCACTGGTGTGGTGTCGTCAGAATGGAGCGAATCAACACCATGTGGCATGGGCTGTCAGAAAGGATAACCGCGTGTCTGGGTACCCGGGTAGTCGTGTATGCGTTTCTCCCCGTGTTGTGTGTCAAAGCGTCGTTATGTTTGAGGTTGATTGAATCCATGCTCCCCCAAAGTTGACAGACAGGCAGGATAGTAGAAAGTTGGTCGATTCTATTTGGCACTGGCCCCCATCGGTCTGTCGTCAGTCTGAAACTCTCCTTTGACATCTGCAGGTCCTCCGTCCTTGGTACACAGATCCACATACTATGTCCTTTATTTGTTGACGTCGAGCCACACCGTTGGATACAAGAGTAGCAGGGACAAGGATAAACTAGAGTTCAGCCCCGAGCTGCCCCAGTAACTTGGCCATAGTACAGCTCAGCTCGAGAAACCACAAGAGAGAGCGGCAGCGATCTTTATTTAGACTCGGGCAGAAAATGCAAACGCCCGGTCGCCTCTGGACAAGATATCTTCATGGACATTTTGCCTCACAACGACAAAATGAGATACTACTAGTAATTGCTCGCGGGTGAACTTGCCCAATATCCCTTAAGCGGTTTAAACGCGGACCCACACAACAATTGTCGCAGACAAGAGTGGCCCAATCAACCGTGTACTAGTGAGTCGAAAAGCAGTTTAGAAATAAAGCAAACTACATAGATTGGGGAAATTCAGCCCGGTGTTTTCGAAACCTTTTCAAAGACGAGGAAAATGCGCACTGCTGGCAATACTGGAAAGTAGGAGTAGTTGCGATTATCGATAATAGGCCCAATTGACGAAGTTTCAACCTAAATAAGTGGTAGACGGTCGATGCCCCGCAAATTAGCTAACCGGAAAGAAAGGCAACCGCAATACTGCAACGCGCCACAATCAACTGAAAACACGCATCAAAACACTTGCTTCGGATGTACAAAAGTCATCAACGCAATTGTCCTTCACCTCAGCCGGCATACTCTGTCTCGGGGTCAATCGGGCCAAGGACTCCTTATGCCAACCTGTTCCAGCGTGCCTAAACTCGCTTGCGCCGTGCATCATGAAATCCGCCTTGAGCCACAAGCTGGCCAAAGGCAAAGTCATACGTTGTCCAAATCGCATGTCAGCAAACTAGAAAGGTACGCGCTCCGTGTCCTGAGCCTCAACAGCCCCAGGTTGGTGTGTGGGTCAGGCGCAGAGCGCGAGTTGTGTCGGGCAGTGGTTTGTTGTCGGTATCCTTGGTTAATTGGAGGCTATAAGGACTGGTGATATTCGCGACAGGTAAGTATACAAACATTTGTTGCTATCTGGCGTTGCCCGCGAATCATCACTGGCGATTTCTGGTATTCAATCATGGAAAATATTGCATGCATGGGGCGCAAACGGTATGGAAATAAGTATTGTTAGAAAATAGGAATATTTATATGCCGTTTTGACAGGTAAATGATGTATTCGGCCTTGGGAACAAGCTACTGACACATGCAGCAAAATCGCGACTCTCTCTGTGTCAAAAGCCGTTTTGCTCTAATAGTCCTCTCCATCATCAACCACGGCAGCACAGGCAGCACACCACCGGGTGTCGGAGCGACGGCAAGCTCATCCTTCTCAAACACCGTGTGGTCGAGGTCCCCAACGATGACGCCCTGTTCCGTGGAATAAAAGCCAAGGTCGATAATTACCCGCACATCGGGACGGATCATACGCGGCTTGATGAAGCCAGGCCCGCGATGAAGCTCCGTGATGAGTACGGCTGGTCGATCAACATGCTCCGAACCGGGTTTTGCGTCACCCGTGACTTTGGGAAGATTGGGAGAAACGCTGACCCGCGGGTAGTGGTGCCTCATGTGCGACGTGAAACCATCGGTGATGATGCCAAAGCCCACAACGTGTACGACGGACTCACACAACACACGGCTCCTCCCATGCTTGGAGAGGAGGCGACAAAGGGCGTCGGCAGCAATGTTGCTGGGCTGCCCCTCGCAGTACTCCTCGATGTGTTTGTCCGGGTCGATGGACGCCATGATCTTGGGCTCGTTGAGGTGCTCCGGCAATGGGCGCTGAATGAGTATACCGTGCACCTGCTCGTTTTCGTTGAGTTCTTGAATCTGTCTCTGGACATGGGCCGAGGAGGCTTCGGGAGAGATTTCGTACACCCAGTATCCGACGCCCGCCTGGAAACGTACTCACTTGGTCAGTGAAGCTATTTTGCGGCTGCGCAACACCAATGTACCTTTTCAGCAACGTGTGCTTTGATTCGGATATATTGCTCGGCAGCAGGGTCTGTGTTGAAGAATACGACTGCTAGGACCGGGTCGATGCGGCCTCGGCGGCGCTTCCGCAAGCACCATTGCTCAATATCCTTGACGACAAGGTGTCCTTCCAGAAGGATGGCTCCCATTCTTCCTCGTCAGCAGTGACGCGCGGGTTGCGTCAAATAAAAAATTTCGCTTAATGTCAACGCCTGAGCTTTGCCTTCGAAGGGGCAGCTAAAAAAAAAAAAAAACAAGGAACGACGGACGAGACAAGACAAGACACAAGACAGTGCTGTGCAGATTACGACGGCCTCATTTCCACGGTACATCGGCAAAGCGCATTGTCCTGGGGCTGGAGCCTTCTTTAATACTACTTCTTTCGCAGCATCGGGTCGAGAAGCAGCTTGCATACTTGATGCAACCGGCTTCGTGACACTTCTGGCCAGTGCGGGCCGCCCAACCTCTCCTTCCCCCGGGGGGGGGGGGGGGGGGGGCCGAATCGGAGACGATGCCACTCCGAAAGGGGGTGTTCAGATTCCTAGGTGGCCTGGACCTCATTTGCCGGTTTTCAAGGCTGGCAAATCATGCTTGGTCTCGGTCAGAAACTGAGCAACGCACCTGGCTGGCCAGCCACATCCAACGGCCTGATGCCCGACGAAGAATAGCCACAGGTAACCTTGACCGTAACGAGGATTGGTCTGATGCCTTGTGCAGAGTACGGAGTACTCAAACACGCAATTCTTTGAACATTGTTGCGGCATCAAATGCAACAGTACCTACTGTGCTCTTTGTGATGTGGCGCCGTTTGTGAGACACGGATCGTTATCTGCGCGGGGACATCATGGGCCAGACTGCGTGACGCGAACCAGGTGACGAGGGTTGGATGTGCTGCTACTCGAGAGCATGTGAAAAACATGAGCGTCATCTTTTCCTTCAACTTGTAAATGTACGGAATGATCGTTACAGGGACGTGGAACTAATAACATACAATGAACTGCCAGGTCGGCCAGCGCTGTTCCCAGTGTAGGCATATATGGGGAAATATTCCTCGAATCTAATTTAATTTCTTATTCCCTCGAGGCAGCTTTCTATCTTGCAGTACGTCCTAGTCACTTACAGGCGTCCCAGACACCAGAGCAGTAGACGTCCAGTATAATAGTTCGTTTTGCGGTATGCCGCTCCGCCTTGTGCATAAGCTCTAGTCTACCATGTAGCGCGATTGTATCTTCCTCCCGTCACACTCCTGAATACTAATCACAATGTACAGCTGCACTTGTAGCCCAGCTCACCATCTTCGTTGACAAGGCCAGTCAGCCGGCATAGCCTTGATATACAAGGCCTTGAACCCGGGATAGCAGTTGAGCAGGTGGGCAGCTTGACGTTTTCTGTTGGAAGCCGGCCTCTTTTTTGTTGTTGTTTCCTCATCATGCCGTGTTCGCGGCCGGCGCTACGTTGCTGTCCCCTGACCTCTTGAATATCATCAGGTCGAGCCGTGTATACATCAGGTTTCCAAGCGCAGGAGACACGAGCTCCGATAAGGTGCAGGTCTCTGACGACAAGGAAAGCAATGCCGACTCCGGTAGAAACAAACTGTCCAGTGTGCAAGAGCAGCGACCAAGCCGATCTTCGTCGACAAGTGGACGGCCTTGGATAAATGATACTGAGAATCGGCGTATAAGCTTGCGTGACAATGTACTAGGTCGTGACGGCGGCTGGTATAAAAAGATTGGTAAATAACGCTACATTTCTATAGGTGCCCGGCTGATCCAGTACAACACACACACACACCTAGTGTCAGAGATTCAGGTAAACCAAACATTCATTATTCTTCAGGTATCGTCAGTTCCAACTACATCCCATAATGGCCAACACGTGCTCTCGACGCCGCTCAGATCATTATCCCCCTGCCACCCTAAATCCAACAATCCTCACAAAGGGAAATTTGCATACAATCTTCAACCCTTAAAAAACCAGACAAGCCCCAATACCCCTTACTTGCCGGGAGGAGGTCCAGCAGGAGGGGCATAGCCGCCCTCGGGGTGGTACGTATTCGGCGGCTGCTGAACACCGTACTGCTGTTGCCCGTAGTAGCCATCATTAGGGTTGAACGTGGTGCCCGTATTCTGGGGAGCCTGCGCCTGGCCGCCGTACGGCGGAGGCGTGTTGTAGTACCCCTGGGGCTGGCCGTAGCCCTGGTTGTAGTCGGGCTGGTACCCCTGGTTGTAGTTGTTCATCTGGTGCTGCTGGTTGGGGTCGTACTTGCCGGCGGGGGCCATCCAGCCCGTTCCGTACATGGGCTGGGCGCCGCGACGACGTCGGCGACGGGCGGTGCAGCTATGTTTTCTGGTTAGTTGTTTGCGCTCTGTGAGAAGACGCGGGGTTGGGAAAAAAAAAATAAAAACTTACGCGCAAGTCATCATGATGAGCAGGAAGATGACGATGACGCCCGCGAGAACAACCCAGCGACCCCAGTCGTACCATCTGCTGTTGCATCTGTACGTGTAGCCGTAGCTGTCGCAGTAGTAGTATCTCTTGATGAGGCCCATGACGGAGGCTCCCGTTGAGGCGTCCGAGGTAGACGTAGGCGCCATGGTGATTTTTTTTGCTCTTCTTGTGCCGAGAATGATGGAAGGCGGGGGGAAGAGGAGACTGAAGAAGATATGCGAAGGCGACTTTTGATGCCAATGCCGATGATGGATGGGCTGGTCGTTTGTTGGCGCAGCGATGGATGACGTGTTGCCCCGGCCAGGTGCAACCAATTGGGCTCGGCGGGACACACGGAATGCGGAATGCGAAATGCGAAGATGCTTATGTGGGCTCGGTCGGTTCGCACGCGACAGAGGTGAATGAAGACACGATGACGATGGCCGATGGAGATGAAACGTTTGATTTCTGGCCCGAGATTGCGAAACGAATCGATGGCTGCAATGAGCAAGACCAGCGTCCGGGGCGAGGGAGCTTTTGTACGTCAAGGCGACCGGACGGTTGTTAGGGCGCTCAAATGTCGGGCTGAGCCACGGCGACAGACTAGCTGGACTAGCCGGCCGGGGGTGAGTCTTGGCACTGATGAATCCTTCGCCCGGAGCTTGTGAACCAGCGACCGCCTGCGTGTCCAGAGAGTGTCTGCGCCGGGGTCGCCAGTTTGCCTCACGCAATTAAAGTTAGCCCGCATGCGCCCGCTTCATCTCGGTGGCTATGCGTGGGGTGGGGCCACCCTGTCGACCCTTTTGGGCTGCCGCAGCCAGCAAATCACATCGAGCCGCGGCCGACCCCAGTGGGGACCCTCAGCCCGTCCGCGACAAACAATGCAGCTTTTCTCATTTCCTCGCGAGAACAGAGGCAGGACACTCGAGGCACCACGTCCAGATCCCACGCAAACAGAAACCACAAAATAATCACGGTGAAGGACGACGTTCGATATTTTTTTTTTGGTCGCCGTTCACGGGATACAAGTGACTGCTCACATTCTCTCCGTAGGCTGAGCAATCAATCCGCCAAGGCCGGCTTGCGAATTCTCTCATCCTCAGCATCATGGGTGGGACCCATGAGCAACGCCACACTTGGAATCAGTCAGACTAACATATGGAGTAGACAGGCGATGATGGATTGGGTAAAAAGTTGACAGGCGCTCGACTGCCGTAACGACGCCCAACGTCATCCCCACCGACCCCTCTGGCCGTCGATGTCACTTCAATGTTCATCAGCCGCTCTTTGCTTACTTCGCCTCTGCTAACTTCGCCCTCGAGCCCAGACCAACACACTGTCACAGCGGGAGCGTATTCCAAATGAGGGGAGAGGCTCAACGATGCAGCCCCATTGCCGGGTTCGCTTCCGTGCCCGGTCATGTGTTGTTCTGGAAGAACTTTGTCTCGTAATACAGTTAGTTCCCTCTTCGCACGAGCATCGGTAGCGAGGACCATAAAACATTTCTTGCTGAAAGCATTGTGGTCGGTGCGACAAAATCCTTCCTCGCATGTTTTTGTTGTCTTTGGCTGTTCAGAGCATGTGCAGGGCGTACTTGAAGGGCATCTGAACAAGTCAATGCTTAGTACACCAAACACTTTGACGCACAAGTAGCCCAGGCCCACGAGAATGACATGCATGTGTACGGAGTACGTGCACATGGCTTTGTCGTGCTCTTTGCCGTGACGTCTGTCGGGCTGCCCAGACCCGATTGCAGACCTGCATGGAAACCGATCTCATTGGCTGTGAACCCACGCTTATGCCTGTGGGTGTGGAGCTCAACTTCAACTCCCAACGTTGAAAGGACATCTTCTACAGCTGGATATGAACTTGTCAGTGACACTCGTTCTTTGTAACCACATCTAGGGCTGGATACCTATGTGTACACCGGCCTCTGTAGTTCCTGCAAGTCCAAAGCCTCCCATCTTATGCAATGAAGCACAACAGCAAAATTGAGGAGATACCAGGACCAGGCGAAAGCAGATTTGAAGTAACGGGGAGTTGTCACAACCGGCCATGAACCCAATCAACTTTTATCTCGGCAAACGATCAAGTTCCCGGCACTAGATAACATTCTATTTAGACATCACGACAGATGTGAGACCATGTTGAGTAAAAGCCATGAATCTCCAAGGCAGTTGTTCAAGGCATGGGGGACGGTTAATCACCCAGATGCAAAGGCAGGACCAGCGCAAAGTTTTTATACCGTTTACACGCCGCAACGACACCACAACCAAATGTCTTCCGTCTGCAATTCAAGTCATAGTAAGCCAAGCACAGGCCTTCAGAAACACGAGAAGAGTGTATATGGTCTGCCAAGGTCACGCGATACGGGATATAAACAGCAAGAAATACAAGTGACGCAAGCTACACGTTTACCCAGGATCGACAAGCACCCTTGGTACATTTCCAACTTTCATTTCCCTTCGTAACAACCTCTAGATATCGATCCAGCCTCGCCTAGGCAGACACGTCAGCGCCGCACCTTCCAACAGAGCTTCAGCCAACTGCATAAGAAGCCGTACAGAACCATCAACCAGTCAGGCCCCCAAGACGTGAAGGGAGCTTCCTCGCAACCCATGTGATGAGACATCTTCCAGTCTACGGTTCACGATTTACGTAAATTTGTTTTTATCTACTTGCCAACGCAGAAGGGAGGCGAATACGTCCGCGAACCACGGCA